ANCCAGTGATTGTTGTTCCATAAAGCTGTGTCTATATATAATAAAAATAACACAAACCTGGTCTAAATTCTTCTCTAGCTGTGTTGATTTTAATCTCAGTTTCAGCAGCAATGGTCAGCTTCTCACTGACCTCTTCTGAGGTGACCTTTGTTACCTTCAACACTTCAATGAGCGAGTCGTCTTCTACCAGTGACCCTTGAGTGGAGGTCAATCTATACAGTAAATTATCCTCCAGTTCCTTCATCTTACGTTTATTATTGGTTACTTCTTCTAATAGATTTGTTCTTTCAGCTTCCAGTTCCTGTAATATTCAATGTATATGTTGAAAGTTTCATTAATTGAGTAGAAGGTACAAATAATCATTATTTATTGGACCATGTCAACCAGTCATGTCTTAATAAAACACGAAAATGTCAAATTGAATACTTTTCAAAAGAATAAATTTAACTCCCTGCAGTGTGCAATGAGAGAAAGCCAAGAATTTAGCACAAATCTGCCTTATCTTTCGTTAATGTGTGCACAAAATGAGTCCAAAGGATTAAACATTTTCTTTAAGAGTAATGCAGAAGTGAGACATAACCATCAGCTATATATAAAAGAAAGAATGTCTTAGAAATGACACAATTTCAAATCTAAATCTTAAGTCTTTGATACGAATACTGCACTAATCATTTGATATGTTAATTGCTTACCTGTTTCTCTGTCAAGATGACAACACCTAACAGTTGGTCTTCTAATCCTTTGATAGTAACAGTGAAATCTATAATTGAGGTTCTAGCTGAGACTTCCGGTGTATAGGCAGGATTAGCTAGTTTAGTTGTTACATACAGTCTAAATCCTGGCATCACATCTACTTCTTTATCTCCTACTTTTACCTACAATTTACATATCAAACATAGTTGATATCCATCAGATATGCAAAATATGAAGGCCAAAAGTCCTTGGAAAAAGGCTAGGATCACATCAATGTCAAGATAAATATTGCAACTTGGCATCTTGTGCAAGAGTGAGGAGTCCACAAAGCTAAGAATAATTTTAATGAGCCATACCTTAAGTGATTTTCCAGATTTGATAAAGTTTTTCTCTAGAACATTATCAAGAGCAGGATCTAACTCCTCTCCTACATCTTCTATCAGTAATGGACGTCCTAGTGATAAACTGTCCTCAAGATGGGTACGGAAATATTTATGATTCAAAGCTGTCAACTGTAATGGAAAAATATTACATTAATGACAAACAAATCTATATGACAAGAAAAGATCAATACTAAGAGGTTTGACCATGGACAACCTGGTAGAAAGGCTCCTTTACAAACCTAGCTTGTTATCCTTACCTTTCTCCTCATAACTGGCTAATCATGAAAAGTACATCAAGATGGTAAATCATTTTCAACCACAAGAATCAATGTTGCCTTGTCATTTTCTTTGGATAAAATTTGAAAATTCAAGTTACCTGTAGATCATGTTCCTTTTCTCTATTTTTGATCCAACTCTTGCCCTGACCTT